AAAACTGATCTACCTTTAGTAAAACCGTGTTGATGTTTCGTCAAATACCAGGCAAAGTAAGGGTACAGGTCTTTGTATATACATTTTTCAAGGACTTTGCTGTCAATATTTAATAGCGATACTGGTCGATAGTTGTTCACCATTTTTCGGTCACCTTTTTTGTGAATAGGAGTAACTGCAGCTGTTTTCCATGAATCAGGTATTTTTCGAGGGCGTTTTACGTTTCTCAAAAGTTTGTTCATCGGTTTGCATATATTGCGGTTCGTTTTCTGAAAAAAGCTAGGTGGCAACCCATTTGGGCCGCGTGACTTTGTTACGTCCAGAGTTGATAAAATCTCACTGACTGTCTTTTTCGATATATCAGAATTCGTTAACAAGGGATTTTCAAATTGAATATCTCTAATACTAAAACTTTCTTTAGGATTAAAAACTGAATGAAAGAAGTCGTTTAGCATGTTGACTTGTTCGTTTGGATTTGTGCTTTCAACTTCATCTTTTATGAGTAACTTAGGAAGACTTGTATGTTTATTCAAGTTCTTTAGGTGTTTAAAAATTACATTAGTGTTCCGTGTTCTAAACAATTCCTCTTGGTAGTTTTTCCTGTCCAATTCCGATGATTCAGTTACTAAATTTTCAAACAGTTTAACTTGTTGTCTTCTGTAGTTGGTCGGTTTGAGTATACATGATTGCCGTTTTGTTTGTAACTTTTTGATCAAATTTGAAGTGCTACTTGTTATCCAAGGTGGAAGTGATTTCCTATGTCTTGTTCTGAGAGGCACAAAACTCTTAATGATTTCATCCAAATATTGGGTGTACTCCTCATGCATTTTGTTAATGTTTGTGTGGCATACTGGTTCAAATGGGTTCTCGTTTATAAAATTGTTTATTCCTTCAAAATCGGCATTTCCAAAACTTCTAAAATTTTCCAAGTATGGTTTCGGCTCTGATACCGTGCATTCAATAGACAACATTATGGCATTGTGATCTGAGCAGTCATAAATCTTGGAAACGTTAAAATTTTGTTCGGCACTTGTATAGCAATTCCGATAAAAGGCTACGTCTAGTATGTTCTTCACACATGTTGGGAAATCTATCGCCTGCCTAAAGAGTCCATTTTCAAAAATTTGCAGTATTTGGTTTTCTTCCTCGTCAGTACTGGTGAGGGTGTTCCAGTTTGTTTCTGGGAAATTTAAATCCCCACATAAGAGAAGCGGTTTGTTTTTAGGAATGGCTTTGATCAGTTGTTCAAATTCATGCACTTTGTATCTGTAATTACTGTTTTTTGGCGGATTGTAGAATGAGCCAATTATCATTTCAGTTTGATGAAGTTTTATACTACATAGCACACATGAATCAGGAATGTCATGTTTGGTGGATAAGTCCTCGGTAATTAGACTATTCTTGACAGCTATTAGGCTGCCTCCGTGACAGTTTTTACCACTCACAATAGCTCTATCAGATCTATAGATGTTATATTCACTTAAAAAAAGCTCTGATGATTGAATATTCTCGTTAAGCCAAGTTTCGCTTAAGCATATGACATTAAAATTTCCAACTGCAATTGCATTTGCTAGCTTAGTTCTTCTCTCTATGTTGATTAGGCTTCTAGTATTTAGTTGCAGAATGTTGAGGAATCCTAGTCAATGCTGGGGTTCCTGAACTTCAGTGTCAATAGTTACTTTCACACCATCATTGAACAATTCTAGATTCCTTATTTTCAGCTTTTCGCGAGGAACGCCTTCATCTAGTAGTTGTCTTCGTTTCTTAAGGATTTCGTTCTCTTTAATTGCACTCTCTTTGGTCAATGCTGGTAGCAGGTAGACCTCTTTTTCGACCAATTGTTCTCGCTTTTCTCGGCTTTTTGCTAGTACTAGTCGTGCTTCATGTTCGCTAGGTACAGTTACCAGCAGTGTTCTTGGCTTCATTCGATTACGATCAAATTTTCCCAGTCGTTTTAGTTCTATTATTTTCGGCTTCACTCCAATTATGTCTAGTATTTCGTTTACTTCGTCATTTGTTGGGACAAGGTTTTCTCCTTTTGTTTTCTCAGGGTCCTCTTTGATCCCTTGTATCCTAAAACTTTGATTTATGTTGTGATCAGAGTTAGATCTGGCAGCATGTTGAGTGGTTTGAGCTTGATTTATCCGGGTGGTGGTTTCAGCAGCTACAACGGCACTATAAGTTTTTTCCACTTTATCGCATGTCGTTTTCATTGCATTTCCAATTTTTTGATCTACTAAATCGGTAAGTCTTCTTTCCATGCTTTTAAGGCTTTCAGTTACATCAATGTTTGAGAGCTTCTCGTCTATGTTGGCCAGGGTTTTGCATCTTATAAAGTTGTCTCGTTCATTATTTTGCACACAAGTATTACAAAGCAACATGACATTCGGCTTAAGCATATGGAACTGAATTGAAGGAACTGTTCACCGGGTTTTCCGCTGTACGTCAACATGGGAAGAATTTGATAAAGCCATGAAAATCAACCTTGAGCAGTGGTTGGATAACCAAAATCCGGAAAGTTGGTCGTCGCGGGTTGCATCCCATGCCCTTGAAAAGATCATCAGCGAGGGCAAAAACAAAAAGAACATGGCTGAGAAAAAGAAGCCCTGTGATTATAGCAGTGATTCACCACCCATCTTGATGGTCCAATATAGGGGGAATCACAGTCAGACATTAGCAAAAAAAGTGCGCGATATCACCAATGCGCTGATAATATTCACGACGAGGAAATTGAAAACTTATATGCCCTCTCTAAAATCCTCCTTTTCCAGTGAACTTAAATCAAAAGTGGTGTACAGACTTGAATGTTGTGGGTGCAAATCCATCTATGTTGGCCAGACGGTCCGATATCTCATCAAAAGGGTTGAGGAACACCGAAAAGAGGATACCCCAGTTGGACAGCATATAAGGCAGTGTGGTAGTGAGCGTGGTAAGTCTGAGTTTAATTGGAAAATAATCGACCAGGCGTCCAGCAGCATCAAGTTACTTACATTAGAGACGCTGCACATTAGGAAAGAGAGACCGGCAATTAACACGCGCGACGAGTTTAGAAGTAGGGAGCTGACATTAAGGCTATAGTTCCAGAATCGAAAAATTCCGGCTAAAACAACAAAATTTTGAAACAACTTACATGTTAGCATAAAAATAAGCCACAAAACGAAAATGTGAAAATAAAAATGAAGAAGACTCAGAAATTTGTTACAAAATGTTTTAAAATGTTACATAATAGTTGTTACATAATTTCAGTGATGTTTGTAAAGTTTTGATTGGTTGAATTTTTAAAATTTTGAAGTAATGATGTGTGTGACACTTTTTATGATCTTTGATCATTTTGTACAGATAGTTTAGAATTTTTAAAACCTGAAGATGCACAAAATGTACGAAAACGTTTGTTTGAATTTACAATTTTAACGCATTCTCAATTGACTTTGATTTCCTCGATATTGAAGCATGAGCATCAGGGGTTTCTCGTCTCGCTTGTCCTGGTTTCTGTCTTTATTGGTATTATTTTTGCTGCAATAATTTTTTCGAGTGTTTCCGACTCAACTTTGGATGACCACTCCTCTGGGTTTTGATTTTCTTCCATTGCTTTGCAGCGTTCCGATTTCTCTTGTACTGTAATGGTGCACAACTTCTGAAGTTTAGAAGCGTGCCAGTATCCGTTGGTTTTTGGTACCATCCAAATTTAACTTGCCTGTTGCCATCTACATTTATATTAATGTCTAGAAAAGCCAAGTCACCGTTCTCATTTAGTGTTTCAAGCTTGAATTGTAATTTAAGTCAAGTCAAGTCATGTTTTTTTATGACCATTAGGCAGTGCCTCTTGCGGTCATTTCAAATGTTTTTTTTCCCTATCTCCGTTCGAATTCGTACATGTCAATTCCAATCGCTTTCCACTGTTTGTCCAGTTTCCACTTGAATTCGTCGATGGTCTTGCTTTGCACTGTTTCCTGTGGCAGATTGTTCCATTCGAATTTAGAGTGAATTTCGTAGGCTGCATGCAATACCAGGTGGGTATTCACGAGTACCAAAATGATAAATCAGTCCCATTTGTACCAAAATAAAAAATCAATCGCGTTAGTACCAAAAATATTCAATTGGCCTAAGACTATTAAGCCGACTACTTTAAGCTCTTGGTTTAAGGTCGCCGGTGGGCGCGCGTCGCCGCTTTGCGGCGATAACCGGCTCTAATTTTCGTATAGAGTCCTACCCTCTGTTGGCAAGCTCGCAACACGTTGGCGCGACTGCGGTGGTCACTATTCTGCTGTTTAGTTTTCTTCTGTTTGAACAGATGGAAATTAATGTAATAATTCGTTGGCTCACAATTCGACCAATCAGAAGTCGAGTTGAATAATTTTGGTACAAATGGGACCGATTTTTCATTTTGGTACAAATGACCGTTGGTACAAATGGGACGTTACCCAATACCACGCTCGGGTCGCCTTTAACAGTCGTTACAATATCGTCTACATATCGTAGGAAAAGCTTCACACCTCTCATTTTCAACTATCTTATTTATTTACTCGTGTCGAGTTGCGTGGTTACATGTCAGTATTTAGACAGCCGCGTATTCATACTGGTCAGTATTTAGACAAATACTGTTTCAACCAATCAGAATCGAGACAAAGAAGAAATTAATAAATAATTATTATTTATTTTGGATTATTTATGTTTTTTTCTCGATTCTGATTGGTTCATACAGTATTTGTCTAAATACTGACCAGTATGAATACGCGGCTGTCTAAATACTGGCTGCACTCCGAGTTTAGTGTTCTTAGTGAAGGAACGTAGCTTCTATCGAGTTTAGTTGTTAACTTATCAATGCTAATCATTTCCTTTTTAACATTGTCACTTCCAAATCTAGAAATTTCCAAGGGTGTTGACTGGAATATGTGATGAAGGGACGCCTGACTGAAACCTCGCCTACTATCATACTTTTGACTTTCGGATTATAATATAGAAAAAGAAAGAAAACTTTAGATCTTTGTTATGGTTATACAATGGACAGCAGTTTATATGATGAAAATGATAATCTCGGGTTTGAGTGCGATGAAGAGGAGTATGATTCTGACTTCGTTGAGCCGTCCGACGACGAAGACTTAGAAATTTCGCAAACAGATATCGAAAGTGATCGTCTGCTAGTCAAACATATCCGAGCTGAAGATGTCGTCAAAGAAATGAACATTGAAATTGAAAAGGCTCGAGGCGTGATAGAGGTTTGGTTATGTTGAAATAAGATTATTTTCAGACTATTCGACCAGTCCTTATAAATAGGTTCTTGATCAAAAATGTTTTCTAAATGTTATCAAAAAACTGATATGAAAAAAGAGTGAAGTAATGTTGATTAGCATGATAACTTTCTGACCTTCTGATTAAAAAATAGTTAGATCTTTTTTTATTGAGCCTTCAAGTGATAGATAGATTTCACTGTTTTAGCGGTCGTATACTAGTACTCGCCTCTTGCTCTCCTCTTACAACTGGGATGCTCAGAAGTGCATTGATCACTACTTCGCCAATCAGGCTGGAGTTTCGAGTGATACCGAAGCAAGGCAGAATTCACCTAAAGTCAAGAAAATGATATTCGGTTTTGATGTCGCTCAAAGTCCACAGACACATTTTCTAACGGTACATTCTTTTCCAACGATATATGCTTTACTTGTTCAATAAATATTAGGTCAATAAAAGTGTTTTTACTATCAATTTAGTGTCTTTTAAGGTCAACTATAATAGTGACCTGGTGCTATCCCCACTTCCACAAGATAATTCAGCCGAACAACAGCAGTCATCCGACGTAGCAAATTGTCTTATTTGTTTCGATGATTTACCACTCTGCTCCTCAGTCTTTGGTTGCCCATATTGCTACCCGGCTCCTGTTTCGGAAACCGAATTGCCCCCATCTATGCCGCCTTTTTGCCCAAGCGCTGGGATTTTCAGGGTCCGTGGGTGTCGTCACATTTGCTGCAAAGACTGTGTCATCAGATATTTAGAGGAGAAAATCAGTAATGTAGGTCGAGCTGATGTAAGTTGCCATGATTTCGATAAAAGCAGTTTGGAATTGACCGATTCTTTTTTAATTTCTAACACTAATGATTAACTGCGCAATCATTTTAGCGAGTGTTCTGTCCCGAAAGCGACTGCAAGAATGTCATTGATGATGACTTGATAATGTTAGTAGGTATAAACCAAGGAACATTTCTGGGAAATTTTTTTCATGACTCGAAAAAAGTTGATGATTGTGTTTTGTTTTTAGAAAGTTGCTTGAGGGAAAAACGAAGGCGGTTCAGCAGTATAATCAGTTAATGGCAAACAATTTTGTCCAGGTAAAATTTTAATCATGGTAAATTTATTTCGTTTATTATCGCTAAATATTTGAGAAATCAACCTTAAGGCTTCTGGCAATGCTCAAACTTCGAGGCTTTAGAAAAGCGCTTGAAAAGACTGACTATTCTGTTTTTTTTCGATGATGAGTAGGGGTTTTCATAAGGTGACAATTATCAAAAGCTGAGATTCTGCTATTTAGTTACACTTCAACAATTTTTGTCATGTCTCACAGAATAAGGCCTATTTTTACACCATTCTGGCCTTGTATTACGGTTTTAAATGGTAGAAACATATCACTTGAAATTGGAGATTTTGTGAAGTTTGAAGTTGTTAAGTTCCTTATGTCGTTGTGCTTGAAGGGCAACCGATTGATGCGCTGGTGTTCGTCGCCGGAGTGCACTTATGCAATGAAAGCAGACCAAACACTGATGAAGAAGGCGGAGTGTGTGTGTGGAAAGGTGATCTGCTTTAAGTGTGGCAGAGACTGGCACGATCCAATGCAGTGTCACTTGCTGGACAAGTGGATGCTAAAGTACACGACAGACAGCGAGAATGCACAGTACATAGTTGCAAACACCAAGGTACCTCTAAGTGCATTTTTCCCTTTTGTGTCTCTTGCTTGCTGAGCATCTGGTGTTAATTGTCTTGGCAATTACGCTTAGGCTCAAGATTTAGGCTCTTAGATTTAGTCGGAATAGCTAGTATTAATCAATGCACTAACTTTACCAATTTTTCCGAATATATTTAGAATAAACAGAAATAATTGTTGTCGAACAAGATTGGTTAAAATTACTTGAAGTGTTTTCTTACGTTTGAAACAATTTCGGAACATAGTTTTCTGAAAATAATCTGTAAAAACTTTGGTTTTTTCTTCTTGGAGTTTTCAAGATTATGTCTGATAAGATATAATTACACAAGCAAAGCTTGTGTGATAATACGAACACTCTGTTTTTTCCTGCCTAAGTCGCAAATATTAGTGCTCTTTTTGAAAAAGCTCACTAATTGCAGTGTATGCATAAGATCAGTAACTAGCGATTAAGTACAGCCAATGCCAAGGATATTAACGCAGATTATTATATTACAAATAGAACTTTAGCTTTAAGGCATCATGGATCTGTAGCGTAGAGGTAGGGAAGGGGACCAGCAGCAAAATAAGAGGGTTCGAACCTTGGCAGGGTCAGATGTTTTAAATGAAATTTTTCGTATACTAGTTAAAATGCGTCCGCTCTATAGTTTGAGGCATGCTAGTTGGTAAGTTTTTTTTTTTTCAAATTGACTGGTACTGCTAATGCGTCATAATTGGCTTGCGTCACTTAGCAATTATGTAGACTCATAATTGGCGTGCGTCACTTATGAAATTTTGTAGACTCAAAGTTATACCCATTCAGTTTTTCCCAGTAGCATTATCGGTCATATTTTTGCTGAGTGCAATTTGGCCTCTGTGTAATTGATGTGATTGAACTATCATTAAAGACGCGAGCTAGTGAGCGTAGTGGTAGGTATATAACGAATGTGCTTTTTTTTGGACACAACTCGCCAATAAAAGTGATCATTTGGTGGTACTTTTGCTGCATACCATTGAAAATTTAATAGCATTTAGTCTATCTGGTTTATTGGTGGCAAGTATTTGTATGTTTTCAAGCGGCCACGGTGCAGATGCGAGAATAATTTCTGCACAAAGCAAAATTTTTCAAGGCTTGTTTTTACACTATTTTTCCTTTTTTTAAATCTTTTTAAAGCGTCTTTTAGCTCTTCGCCCCCATCTTTTATGAACCTCATTTTTTGGTGTAACGAGTGGCTTCACAAATTTAAGTGCGAAGACCAAATATGTTTGATGTAGCCTCATAAGTTTTCATGTCATAGCTTTTAACTAACTCCTCGTCCCAAATTTGGCAACTAATTCCGCGTCACAAAATTGTTTGTTAGCGTACAGAAAAATTGTGTCATAGTAGTTGCTGCTATTCTGCAGCGATTATTTAGTGAAAAGCGAGATTCATTCCAAACTCCAATTCATAAACTCCAATAAATGATAATTAATTGATTTTTCATCACCAATCAATTAAATAATTGGTGAGCGCCTTTCAATCATCTAATTGGACCAATTAATTTCCAATTAATTGGACTTAAATTAATTTTTCGGAACCCCTGGCTACTACTGTGACAGAAGTATCCCTATATTACGCTTATTTCGCTTTCACTAATTTTGAATATAAATTTACTATCTACTATATATTTAAATGCATCTGGTCAGGTTCTCGCAATGGTTAAACTTCCTAAAATGAGGCTTCTTGATCTGTTAGTGTGAGACTTAAAGTCTCAAAAATGCTGTCTTTAAGTCCAAAGATATGTTATTTTGATTGCAACTCACCATTTTGAACTTGAAACGATAGAGCAAAAAGTTATAAATCTAACACATACAAAACTAATATATTGTTCCGACATTCGCAGGCAAATTTACACTTTTTAACTGGCCTTTTTCTGACGAAATTTTGTATACTATTCGAAATCTATTGTTGCCGTGAGCTCAATTTCAATAAATTTCCACCTGTGATGATTTTTCGTTACGTTATCGGGTTTTAAAGACTGCCAATTTGGGACAATTAACGCGCGATATATTTCGCGCTATTAACGCGTAAGCGGAGATTGAATCCCTTACAGAAATCGTTCCAAATTGGTTAAAACAGGCTATTTGTTATAGTTTCTCCGTCACAAGGAGTGAAATCTATCACTTTGTACTTCATATGTCGTGTATGGATGATTTAAAAAAGCTTTAAAAATTTTGTAATTCTTTCCGAAAAGTTCATCTTTTTTTAAAGCAAACACTGCTTCAAAGACCTTAAAAGGGGGTCGGAACATTCAGGACTTCGCTCTGATACGAGCAGTCTTGTTTACTATAACTATCCTTCAACTCTGTTGAATTACGTATTTGTATAGCTGCAAGTTAAATGAATGAAATTGAAAAAATTATTACAGTAATTATTTTTCCGATTATGTTTACCGTTTAGATATTAACATGCATGCATTTCCAAAAATCCAATTGTGTTTTTTTTAAGTTAGAAATATTTAAGTTTAGTACCAAATTTTTGTTGTTTTTGTCAGACTGATCTCTTTGTCAAAACAGCTTTGCTGCGGTGAGTGGGTACGGTAGTTATGCATAATTGATGTATTTCAATCGTAATGAATTAGAAATTTTTGATATGGAAGTAAAAGTACTTTACTGTTCATTATATGAAGCAAATTGTTTTTTTCAACTTTTTTTATGATTTCGAAATCATTAGCTGGGTTAATTTATTAAGTTTGAAAATATACTGGGACGTTCTTGACTGGTCGGCTTCCTTATAATTAAAAATTTGCGAGCACTAGACGTATTTTCGTCAAGGAACCGGTTATTTTTAGGGACCCGTCTATCTCGGTAGTTCCATCATTTCTCGAATTTCTTGATGTATGTTTGCACCAAATTTAGCGTTTTGTGTTTTGATGATTTTGTGTGTTTGAAGCCGTGTCCAAAGTGCAAGGTGTCAATTGAGAAGAACGGCGGCTGCAATCACATGACGTGCAAGACATGCAGCCATCACTTCTGCTGGATCTGCATGGAAGAATGGGAGAAGCATGGTCAGAACTGGTACAACTGCACCCGATACACAGACGACCAAGCCAACACAGAACACATCAATGTCAGTCATGTTCTCAGTTATATTACGATTCCTTTTGTTTTCAATCCCCTTTGCTTAGAGAAGTGTTCCTTTTAGTGCAAGTTTAATAGTGTTCTCCGCGTTATCAGTGGCTAGGATGCAGGCCTGTCGACTCAGATGCGCGATTATATTATTTATCTTTGATTTTTGTTGGCAATTTTTCGATCACAGTCTTTAGATTTGGTTTCCTTCCACAAAATGAATGATTTAGGCCATTGACTTTTTCAAGAACAAATTGAGCTCAATTCAAAATTGCATTTTGATATGGATATTGAATCAAAACGGCATCGCTCATAGTTTCAGAAATGAATTTGAATTTAAGAGACTGCCGGCGGAGAGAAAAGAAAACCTTATGAATGAAAAAGAAAAATTTGAAAGAAAAAGTCATTTTTCACATAATTAGGTCGTGTGGTTTTTTCATAAAAATTTAAAGGAAAGTAAAGTATGTTTTCGCAGTCGTTACAAATTTCTTCGTCACATCATTTTGCCTTTTAACTTGCGGATTGTTTTAGCAATCGCGCCAGAGATTGAAAAGATTTGTCCACTACGGAGGAAGATACGATGCACATACGTCCAGCATCAGGAAACTGCCCGAGGTAAAAAAAAACGTCAGTTCTGGATTTCTTATGATAATCCTTAATTTGACATTGGCTTACTACATTAATGTGACTACTACAAATGATTCCTTTAGTACCATTACATCCAATTAATTCTCTTATTTTTAAATTAAAAGTTTTAATTTAATTTATAAGTTTAATTTGTTGTTCATAACAAACTCATTGGGCGTCTGGAATTTACAAATGATTCTGACTTTGTATGTAACTTCATTCAAATTGATCGCGAATTTCTAAATGTTTTTCAAACGGTTAAATGAGCAAAGCTTGCGTTTTTTTTCAAAAAATCAAAACCTCAATTTATTGATTGGAATCAGTTTTAGCTTGAAGGGCAGATATCTATCAGAATTTGAAGACGTCTGTTTCAAGCTATAGATAATTTTTAAAAGTTCCAAACAAACGTATTCGATCAAAGTGGGGTAAAATCCTGTCGAGATGAGACGAGGAGGCAAAACCTGCCGAGATATCATTTCACCCCATTTTTATCGAGACTTCTAACTTGGCTGAGAGCTCATGACATTAATTACTAGCAACACAGGTAGCGCGAATAGTAAAGTTCGGAAATACTAAACTTCGGCTTTTTTGCTATAATCACTATCTGCAGCATTGGAAATTTCATAGCAACTGTTCTCTGCTTTATTTGTGGCTAGTGTTTGTGATTAAATAAGCGTCCGTGGCTGAGTGGTTTTTGCGTGACGCTCATAATATCTTGGTTGCAGATTGAATGCGAGACATAGCCGAATTATCACGTAGTCGAGGCCTTTATCAACTTTTTCTTATTTCAATTTATAGAGCTGCTTTTTGTCGTGTTCTCGCTAGAGTTAGCGAAGAGCAACTGCGCTTCTGTGTTAAAAAGTTAAAACTGGTATCTCTAGCTTCATTATCAGCTTGAAGGGTGCTTTGCTAAATGTTGTCGGCTTTCTAATTGCATCCTGAATTGTTAAGAGTCGATGCACGTAGTGCATTAAAAAAATCTTAAAAATTGTTAACGCTCAACTAGCTTAAAGTTTGTTCGTTTGTTTTCATTCAAGTTCATTTATTTTTCTTTGTATACACTTGCGAGCAGCTAGTGTATTAGTACGAAACATCTTTTTTTGTTACCTAACTCGCTAATAAAACTTCTTTGAAAGTGGAAAGTTTCACTTGTTTGGTGGCACTTTTGCTTTAATCACAATCTAGCATAGGAAGTTTCATAGCATCTGTTCTCTGCTTTACTTGTGGCCTTGTTTGTGATTTAATAAGCGTGCATGGCCAAGTGTTTAGTGCGTGAGACTCATAATCTCTGGTCGCACATCGAATTCGAGACGTAGCCGTATTTTTCCTATTTCGAGGCTTTTTTTTACTTTTTTAATTGCACTTTAAAGAGATGCTCTTGCTAGCTTCGACTCTGTGTAAAAGAAAGGAAAGCTCCACTATCAACAGCAAAAATGTAAAAGTTACAAAAACGAGAGGGACTTGTAATTTCCCGAGTGGATTTTTTTCAGATTTCCCGGCGGACGAAAAACTTACCTGATGATCCAGTATTCTCAAATTGAGTCATTTTTATCAAAAAAGTGTCAGTCGTAAATTGCTTTTTAAAATATTTGAAGAAATCTTGTTTGTAAAGGTTTTTAATTTAATTCGTTCAGCAAAAAAATTGCAAAAGGATGGAAGACGGCAGGCATCCGAAGGAAAGAGGCGTCTGCTCCCTCCCCGTAAAAATACTTTTGCAATCGTTTTCTTGCTTAATACTATTGAAACAATGGCATCGTGTTTACATTCTCCTTCCTCCTATCACATTACTATTGAAATAAGGGTATCGTTTTTTTATCCCTCCCACTACGACATTCACAAAGAGCTTAAGGCTAAATGTCTTTTTTTGTTTTCTTGCGTTTATTGAATCTTTTCCAACTGTATGTTGGCTTTGTTTTTTAAACATAGTTTAAGCAAATGGTGGTAGTATTTTTCAAAACTAAAAAATATCTATATGGTTCAAAAAAAGTTTTCGGGCCTAATAATTTCTTTTGTTTCTTGGTTAAACGGTCACATTATTAGCTGGAATTTTTTCGCATATTATGCGAAGCCTGCTTAGTGTTTGTAATTCTCTTCTGGGCTCAATCCATGGGCACTAATTGTTATGATATGAATTGAGCTGATTTATTGAAAGAAGCGCGTGTTGAAAAGTTTTACGCAACTAACAGACTCTCCAGAGACTTAAAATGGTCGGGTTACTTGAATTTCGATACTTCAAGTTTTAACAGCTATGGCCAAGTTTAGTTGGTTTAACTGCTTTAAATGCGAATCTGTCATCTCAACTACTGCTTTTCTCAAGGATTTTTTGTATGACCAAAATGATTTGTTAATTTTTTCAATGGTAGAGTTGTTGACGCGTATTGTTCCGACCATTTGAAAAATGTGAAGGAACTTTGTATTCGGGTGTTTTAGTTTTTTTCTTTTTGTTTTCCGTGCAAAATCATTCAACACATATACGTCGGAATGGGTCGAGTGATACATCATATTAAAGCCCTTTCAAACGCGATTCGAATGACCTTCAGAAATTTTCTGTCTAGAAAAAACCAGTTTGAAGTTCTTGATTTTTGGCCTAATTTCAAGCTAATAAGGTGAGCGTGCACGCTTACAAAAGCTTATTTGAGCTTAATTTTTTTTTTTCGTTTTTCCAGACATTTTTCTTCAAAACTGTTCTAAATGGGCTATTTTACTTTGACTGTCGAAAATGCCTAAGTTTATTTTTTCGTTCACGCAGAAAAAATGACAATATTATTCAGGGCTATATTGGGAACATTCTGTGCTACTTTCACAGTAAACTGCTATCTTTTTTTAAAGTTTTTTTGCGGTTTAATTTTCTGCTTTTGAAACTCGAAAAATTGGTTTTTCTTTTCAGTTTCTTTGTTGATTAATCTTTCTCTGACTGCCTGTTGGCTGTTTTTAGTTGAAGGAGCACGTGAAAGCAAAGGTTCAATCAATGACCAATGACTGTCGCTTGTCTTACGTCGACACGAAGTTCCTTGAAGCGGCCGTCCAAGTTTTACACGAGTGTCGAAGCGTGTTAGCCTTCACTTATGCTTTCGCCTACTATCTCTCCCCAAATAATCAGAAGAGTATTCTGGAAGATAACCAGAAGGACCTTGAGTTGGTGACAGAGGACTTGACTGCAGACTTGGAGCGGGATCTGTCCGAGAATCCTTTCAAAGACGGAAGAGACGCGATCGAGTATAAAAACAAAGTGCAGAACTTCACTAAGTTAGCAAAGTGCTGATTTGACAATATTAACAGGGGGACTTTGATCTAAGAACTGATTTTAATTTAGTTCTGATTTAGCAAAAAAGCTTATAAGGAAAAACGTACAATCTGTTCAGATCTTTACACTAAAATTGGGGGTCATTTTGGTAAAAGACTTTGTAAATGGCAAACTCGATGTTTCATACAGTATTGAAATACTGAAATAATTACAATAGAGTCAACATAACGTAAACCTATTCGCTTAAGTGATCTGCAATCTAAGATGCGTTCCGAATGAGGTCAGCCACGCTGTCGTGGCTTGAAAAGTTTGCGTTTCCTTGATTAGCTTAAAGCAATGGTGTTTGGTGTTTCTTGAGTCAATTGTTTTTGAGGACTTGATGCATTATTTTTTGAATTGATATATTGTTTTTAACAAGCCCTGCAGTATTAAAGCTGAATTGGTCGTGATTGAGATTTTAAAAAATTGGGAAAAAATGTCTGTTGAGAAAAACGGTCTTTTACTTTCGTTTTTCAGTTTAGGTTAGATGAATTAGAGGCTGATCTTCAACTAAAATTCCAGCAGAATTTAAACGCTTTATAAGCTATTAATAAACAATTAGTTTATTTGATCACCTCATCTGGATAAAAAATTTGATTTTTCTTTCGATTTTTTCGAAATCTATGCTTTATTTTCGAATTTTTCTACAAACAGGTCGGAAAATTCTGTGCTACTGGCACAGCAGCCGGCTATATTTGATTATTTTTTGGGCTTGTTGGCATTGAGTCAGCTACCCATCGTCATATTAAAGTACAATTTGAGATTGCAAATGGCGAGTTAAATAGAAAAATAATTATTCTACATCAATTTGTCGATAATTTACGAGAAATACATTGAAAACCCTTGTTCAAAATTTTTAGCTACTGCAGCAGTCGGGCTAAGAAGCTACTGGAACACGTGAAGGAGGGCTACGATCAGCAACTGTGGGAGTACGACCAATCTCTTCTGGGCGAAAAAGTGTCCCCTCGATAACCCCCTCCCCTCCCGTCCCCGCACTGTAAAGAGTGAGACTTTAGGGGTCACTTAACTTGCCAGTGAAACGACCGATGCTCATCATTGATTGATTCGTCCAAATGAAGAGATTTGTTATAGTAATATACTTTAAAAGGCTGCAGATAAGTTTCTACGTTAACTGGTGACCTTATTTTAATGCTACCAAGTCATTTCATTCAATCAAAACGTTGCAGCTCTGCGAGCAAGTGGTGCTGAAAAGTTAGCGATGTTGATATAGTTTAGAGATTGCGAAATTCGAATTACTGAAATAAGTGATTGAAGCGCATTTCATTATCTACATTATACATTTTATTCTAGTAGTATCCGTTCTTATAGTTTAGAAACTTAATTCAAGCTTGTTACATAATCATTTTCCGTTTTTTGAGTGAATTTTATTGCAGCAGAATTATTTTTTTTGTCACTGAAAGAAGTTTTCGCCATCTCGGCAGTTTCTTTAGAGTCAATAACTGGTATCTAGCGTGGGAAATTTTTCTACTATTCTAAATTTGTTTGGAAGTGTAAAAGAGCGAAGTGATTCCCACTTATATAGGTTTTGACGAGAAGAGGGTTCTCATGCTGGAGGGACCGAGCGCTGGAAAAGTTTCAACCAATCGAATTCTCTAACCATTCCTTTTGGCTAAATGACTTTCTCACAAAAGCGAAATCAATACAAACAGAAAATGATAATATATTAAATATACTAGATGCAGATATAATAGGTGCAGAATAATAAATTTAGTTTTTTGTTTTTCCATTTTTCGTAAATGGGTATCCTAGAAATAGTAAAATTGTTCCAGTCCGCCTTCGATCCGGCATTATTTTCATTTATCTGCTTATTATATAATCGATCACTATTAACACTAACGGCCTGGTTTTATTTGCTTGCTTTGAGATTTTCGCAATTTCCCTGAGATTTTTGAATACTCAATTCTGATTGGCTGAAAGTCAACCAAAATAAATTTCAAGCATTCGGTCCCTCCAGCATGAGGAACGTCACCTTTTGATGATTTTAACACTTGCAGTAAGGAAGGGAAAAGAACCGGGTACAAAGCTTTTTGCCGTAAACAAGTTTGTTCGCAGAATGGACGAAACTATATTTTTGTTGTCTGCCATTTCGTCGTATTAATCGAATTAATGGCTTGTATTGCCTGCATATGGGATTTGGCTGCCCGCTAAGAGGTGCAAAGTACTTTTTATCGGTACCGAATATGCTGAGTAGATTTTTAACGCTGAGGTCGGTTGGCTTTAACTCAGTCGGCCTAACTTCCTTTGTTTTAATTCTATTTATTTTTGTTGCTTTTATAGGAGATGAATTGAACTCTAAATCTAAATCACCAATTTATGCCCTCCATAATAAAATTAGAACTATGGAACCTGGAAAATGACATTTCAATTTTTTGGTTTTTTAGTTGGTTGAGGTTGTTGTTACTATTGATTATGCGCCCGGCTTTATTTGTTACGCTAGCAACCAGCAAGAATTAATAGATCGAATTGTAGATTTCTTTCGTTTGTGGGTTTGATACTGGCCAGGAGCACTTTTTTTTCATAATAAATTGTTCTTTTTTGGGAGAAATTTAATTATCGGACTTCGCTTTGTCTGATTTTTTTGTCAGCTTCCTTCAAAGTTTTGTTATTTTCTTTTTAATGGAACAAGTTTTGCTGGATTTGAGAAAGCTTTGGATTCTTTCCTGTAGTTTTTTAATTTTGCGACCTCTGATTTTCAAAAATTAATGTACCTTTTTTGCTATTAAGCTTTATTTGGCTTAAATAGTTTCTTCAAATATGACATTGGCTTAGTAACCGTGTATTGCGTCATTTCAAGGAAAAAACAGCTTTTTTTAGAATTTAAGTGTTCCAGGGGCTGTGATATTCTGTGTTGCAAAATTAGAAGTGCAAATTGTTTTACGTTAATATCCTTTTCGGCTCAATAATCGCCTGCTCAAATTTTGTCGGCTTACGTGGCGCTCGATAAGATTTTCTGAATGGTAATTCAACGCTGTCGATCGATAAGTTTTTCTAAATGGTAATTTAACGCTGTCGATTGTGGTTGTCGGAGTTTGTTCCTCAAGTTGTATATATGCGAGACAAACGTACGAACTTTTTCAATATATTTGTAAAAAAAGTTTTTCGACATACTGGCCCGCCCCATTTTTCTAATTTGCTTTCCCTATGCGCATATTTTTTTCCAGGAAAATTTTTAAAGTACTTAAATATCTGCAGAAAAGGAATCGTGCAAAATTTTTTGTAATTGTTAAGCTCATGTTTGAAACTTTAAAAATAGAAGTTAAATTATGCATGGCTTTGGCTCTTGTGTTTTTCAAAAATTGTTTTTATCGGAAAAGGGTCAGTCGCTAAATATTCTTAAAATGAAAAATCTTTGAATAATTTCAAATTGCAGGCTTTCTTGATGAAAATCAAAATTTGAAAAAAAATTATATTTTTCTTTTTGTCTCGAGTGAGTTTCAGGCAGTTTTTATGTTTCGCACTTGAAAATATTATCTGAAAGCTTAAAACGATTTTCCTTTCACTTTTTTTGAAAATTTTTTTAAAACGTTCATCTTTTTTTTCGGTTTGATTGAGTTTATTGGCACTTTTACGGCAGTTTGTTAGCTTGTAAGCTTTGTACAAAACTATTGCACCACCTGGTTAAACTGTAATTTGGAATTGTTTGCGGATTTGTCGTGGAATCTGGAAGAAGAATATTTTTAATCTTTTGCTGCCTTGGTGGAATCCGGACAAAAATGGTTCAAACATAGTGCACCTACAAATGCTTGCTCAAGCAACAACCCTTTTGTGAATAACGGAGTCTAATTAAGATTCAAAATTCAAAGAGACTTAAGGCCCTACATTTTTATTTTGAAAATTCTTTTTAACAATGCTGCTCTGTTTCTTCACGCAGTTTCGAATGAATCTGGTCTTTCAAGGTCATCGCGTATGTTAAAAATTTCGATTGAGGAAAACTGAAACTGCATGCACTTGAAAGTCTGTTTCTTGTTTTTGGGATATAATTTTGTTGCCTGGTTGTCATTGTTTGCCACCTTCCATCCTCTTAAATTTGTAAAAGTTCTTTTAGTAGAAAAGTGGAAGCGTTGGTTAATAATTGCGTTACGAATTAAGTCGGCGGCGGATTACATAATCGCTGGTTTCCTCGATGACTTCGATAGAATAAATTGACAGATTTTTTTTTTTTTTCAATTGAAAATCATTCAGTTAAACTCTGGTTTTACTGGCTTCATTTTCAGCTAAAACTTCAGCAATAGTTTGAATTTAGAGATCGTTTACTTGAATAAGAACGGTTACTTGATATTTTGATATTGTTGATATTCATAACGTTTGGAACCTTGTTATTAGATTAATTTAGTATGCTAGCTAGTCATCATCAACTGATGGCTGCTGCTGTTGTTTGTCCTTTAATTGAAGACCCGGGGATTCGTCCAGGCTCTGAATATCAGTATTTGTACCAAGGGTTTGAGTTATACCCGCGGCTGCTTCGCTTGTCCAGCAAGTTCCTGGCATGAGCTCTGGATTCATATTTGTCCAGGATATTTTTGCCGATGAGGAGGAGATCACGTGAGGACATGTAGGCTCTGTCATTAACTAGGTCGCTGCGTAGTTGCATTTGAGGCTGTTCTGATAGAATTGACTGATCATCTGAAAAAGAGTCATAATTCCCGATGCAAACAAAAGTTAATTGTTCAATAGATAAAGAAAAAACGAATAGCCGTTAGATAGACTATCATCAGACATTTTTTATATCGATGCTTTTGAATATTTGCCATTGTGTTGAATTGATTGAATTTGATGAGGCCAAAGGTTTGGGCGATACAAAATGGTTCAATTGAAGAAAAAAATTTCACTCCTATAATTATTTACATGGTATAAATGAAATTTAGCCCCAAGTTTCTCATCACAAAATGTGTCGTTTTTAACAAAAAGGAGGCAGAGAATGAGAATGCACTCGCGGGTCCAGATCATCGCAGACCGCAACAAAAAGATCTGACTTTCATTCAATATCTCTATTTCAAAACAAACGACTTCCAATATCTGCGCCTGTTATTTTTCAAACGTTTGCAATTTATTTAGGATCAAGTTAACATCCTCCCCCCTAATAGACCAAGTTAAGATCCTCCACCCCAGCGCTTATTTTAAATTAAATTTGCTAAGCGCTGCGTGTAAAATGCTTAAATCTGATTGGCTGAAAAATCGAGCTAAGAACCAAGTTAACATCCTCCCCCCTAAAGGCATTTGGGGGGAGGGTGTTAACTTGGTCCTTTATTTATAATTTGAGCTGAAAAATCTCTTAATCACTAAATACATGTGCGAGATGTGGACGGAGCATAGAGTTGATCAAGTAACAGTAGGCCGAAAAACTGAATACAAACACACCGCGTAAATTTTTTTGAGTTGAAATTTTTACAGCCTCCTCAGCTGGTCCTGATAGTTAAAAAGTTTATTTTTTCAAACTCAATTTTTTTGTCTAAACCTTAAGAACTTCGCATTGTCTTGAAATAGTCCATTGCAAATTATCTTTTTCTTGTTGTTTATCAAAACCATAGGTAGCGAAACTGAAGTTTTAATTTGTTTCCCCTTGAGGATTTTTCTAACTCCCATCAAATTATGGTAATAAAGTTGAAATTCCAAAAATTGATAAAAGGAGAGGGGATATTCGAAGAGATCCAATTTAAACTGTTTGTTGTTTAGTGTCAATGAACGCAGTGAAAACTTTTTCATGGATGATGATTATTTTTTAGGAAAAAGGTAAAAAAAATAAAGGCTTAATTCTATGATTGTTTTGCTGTTTATTTCCATGGGTTTTCAGACTTAATAACTGGCTATTTTATGATGGAAACCCGTTGAGCGTAAATTAAGAGACATTGAATGTAGTGAAGAGCACTCTTATATATGTCTTGATGTTTTTTTTTTCAGGAAAGTCTTTGATTTTTCCGGAAAATTTGATTTTTCGCGGTTTTACTTTGACTTGTTTTTTTTTTATTTCAGTTCATTTACTTTGTTAAAACGGAAGGTAAACTCCACGATCGAGCTGCAAAATTGCTAAGGTCACAAAAAACTTGATCAATTTTTAGTTCCGAAACTAGTTCTTAATTTTCAGATTTTCCAGCGGAACAAAAGTTTGACATTTATCCAGTTTTCTCAAATTTGGTATGTTACAAAAAACTTTAAATTATAAAGCGTTTTGAAGTACGCGAAGGTTGATTTTGCAAAAGGATGGAAGAGGTCAGGCATCGGAAGTGAAGAGGTGTCCGCTTCCTTCCCATTAAAAAATCACCACTAAAATTTTCGAATCGTTGTCGTGACTAATGCTATTGAAACAAAGTGTTTTCTTTCGCTCTAACCCTGGTTTTATGGACCAGATTAAGATCCCCACCACATCCAGTCCACCAACAATCAATAAAACTGCGTATCTCTGCATGCAGAATACTCTGTCGCAATTGACTGCAAATTCTTGCATGGAACCAAATGAACATACGCCCCCTAAACCGCTTTGGGCTGCAGGAAGTTGACTTCATCCAAACTTCATTAGTAAAAGGAAGACCAGAATGTTAACTTGGTCCTTTATTTAAAATTTGAGCTGAAAAATCTCTAAATCAGTAAATACTGTAGTAGAGGACGTTTTAAGGAAGGAACTTTCTCAAAGTAATGGGACGGACGCATCGTCGCTATTGCGAAAAAATTTTCGCCGGAGGAATTTTTTGGCTTGAAGGGCAGGGTGGCCATGATGTCAGTGCCATCAGTGCTAGCAAATTAACATCATTGCCAAAAAAAGTTTCGCCGCTCTTCTTAACTTAATCATTAAAAATGGAAGCAGGTTTACACAGTGAGGTTTGTTCAGAGTTAACATAAGTAGATCCTTAACGAAAAAAAACTCAATTTTGATACATTGTCCTGAGAATGCAATTTTCGAAACGTTAACTGTTTTTAATTGTGGTAAAAGTTGGGTTAAAAAAGACAATAGTTTTCTTTTTCGGATATCATTGGCAGGCATTCATTTTATCAGCGCCATTGTCATTGCCAGCAGTGTCAGTATCAGTGCCAGGGGGTGGATAGGCCGAGGTTTGGAGCAAAGAGCTAAATATCTAACCCTCTCCCCCCTCCGCCAGCGTTGCTACTGCCCAAACACCTTTATTAAATTGAGTTGATTTTTTATGTTTTAATTACTTAAATGATTGGGAGCATTATATCAATGGTGCAAAAATTAACCAAATAGGGTTAATTTGATAAATTGTCGAAAAAAAATATTTTTTGAAATATAGTAGCTCCTCCCGCAACTGCGCCTTGCTAAAAACTTAATTATTAATTATTAGAATTATAAGTGAGTTCTGGTGTTCATGTGCAAGATGTGGGCGGAGCATGGAGTTGACCATAAAAGTAGGGGGCCGAAAAACTGAATACAAACACACCGCGTAAATTTTACTGAGTTGAAATATTTACAGCCTCCTCAACAGGTCCTGATAGTTAGAAAGTTTATTTTTTCAAACTCAATTTTATCTAAACTTAAAGAACTTCGCATTGTCTTGAAATAGTCCATTGCAAATTCTTTTTTTCTTGTTGTTTATCAAAACCATAGGCAGCGAAACTGAAGTTTTGTTTTTTTTCCCTTGAGGATTTTTCTAAATCCCATCAATAATAAAGTTGAAATTCCAAAAATTGCTAAGGAGAGGGGATATTTGAAGAGATCCAATTTCACTTTTTTTTAAGTGTCAATGAACGCAGTGAAGACACTTACATGAGTGGTGATTATTTTTTTAGGAAAAAGGTTTACGCGGTTTGACTTCTGATTTTTTTAAGTTCTGTTTTTGTGTTCTAGAGAAACTAGGCAAGTTATTATTTTTATTAAGGGACAGAAAGTTGGTAAGATATATCATTTTGAGGGTAACAAAATTGGTATAGTAGTTAATACCTATGGTGCTCTCACAATTTTGCACGAAAAAGCGAAGATGGTCGCTTGCTTATTGAGGTCAAAGTAAAAAGGTAAAAAATAAAGGCTTAATTCTATGATTGTTTTGCAGTTTATTTCCATGGGGTTTTTTAGACTTACAAACTGGCTATTTTATGATGGAAAATCGTTGAGCATTAATTAAGAGACATTGAATGTAGTGAAGAATATTCTTATATATGTCTTTTTTTTTTCAGGAAAGTCTTTGATTTTTCCGGAAAATTTGATTTTTCGCGGTTTGACTTTGACTTGTTGTTCCGACTTTCGATACAAAACTAACGGAATATTCGTGCTCGGGGTGGGTTTTTTTTTTCTTCAGACTTTTTAAATTTCGACTTTTTAACTAGCCATTTTTGACGGAATTTTTTTATATCATTCGAAAGGTATTGTTGTCCTGAGCTCAAATTTGAAAAGATATTTCACCTGTGATCATTTTTCATAAAGTTATGGGGGCTTAAAGATTGCCATTTTGACCAATTTGGGACAATTAACGCGCGATATAACTCGCGCTATTAACGCGTAAGCGGAGATTTAATCCGTCTTATAAATCGTTCCAAATTGGTTGAACGAAGCTTATTTGCCAGAATTGATTTGTTACAAGGAACAAAATCTATCTTTTTCTGTTTTATATGGCGTGTGGGGGGATGATTTTCATAAAAAGTTTCAAAAAAATTTTCGTTTTTATTTTATTTCATTGAATTTTTTAATGTTTATACTGCTGCTCCATAAACCTTAAAAGGCAGTCGGAACATTCAGGGCTTCGCCCTGATACGAGCAGTCTTGTTTTTAATTTCAGTTCATTTACTTTGTTAAAACGGAAAGTAAACTCCACGATCGAGCTGCAAAATTGTTAAGGTCACAAAAAACGTGATCAATTTTTAGTTCCGAAAGTAGTTTTTAATTTTCAGATTTCCCAGCGGAACAAAAAATTGTTATTTATCCAGTTTTCTTAAATTTGGTATGTTTTACCAAAAAACTTTAAATTATAAAGCGTTTTTGAAGTACGCGAAGGCTGATTTTGCAAAATGATGGAAGAGGTCAGGCATCCGAAGTGAAGAGGTGTCCGCTCCCTCCCCATTAAAAAATCACCGCTAAAATTTTCGAATCCATGTCGTGACTAATGCTATTAAAACAAAGTGTTTTCTTTCGCCCTAACCCTGGTTTTATGGACCAGAAGATCCCCACCACATCCAGTCAGCCAACAATGATTAAAACTGCGTATCTCTGCATGCAGAATACTCGGTCGCAATTGTCTGCAAATTCTTGCATGGAACCAAATGAACATACGCCCCCTAAACCGCTTTGGGCTGCAGGAAGTTGACTTCATCCAAACTTCATTAGTAAAAGGAAGACCAGAATAATTTACTCGGTTGATGTTGTCGAAATACAACGCTTCCGTACAATCTTTCCATGTCTTCTTATTCTCTATTTGCTTAAGATTAATTTGAGTTGCCTCCATGTGGCTCTGTTTTAAGAGTTATCAGCATTGGAGTGTCGGCTCGGTTTAGGGGGTTTTCGCTTAGATAGCGCTTGAATCTTTATGCTCAGGGAAATTTTTGACAGATAGAAGGGCGTGTAAAATATCACTGTTTAGTCGACAAGCTAAAGTGACAAATGCAAGTGAGTGTTATTAGAGAAAGATGCATTCCATTACTTTCTATTTTTTAGATGGCGTTTTTGAAGTTGATTTATTGAG